TGAGTGAATCAAGTAAAGCACAGGATGAACTCCAACATACTCTCATTTGGGCACACTAAACATATATGCACATGAGACTGACGTGTAGCTCCGTGGGAGAGCACATGTGCAGTACTTATCAGTCTCTAGAGTCTACAGCCAGCATAAACGATGTACACGAAGCTATGGGTACACTCCAGAAGCGATGAGCAGAGTGACAAGTGTGGGAAGAAGGCACACCGGCAACAGGGTTGTCAGCAGAGAACTAGTGATTTTGGGGCCCAATATTTCATTATTTTAAGGGCTGTCCTGTGTGTTATACGATACTGATCAACACCCTTGACCTCTATCCATGCTTTAAATCTTGCTCATGCTCTACATCGAATATAACAAAAGAAGTTGAAATATACTTACGTGTTTTCTGATGGCACAATCACCGATGCCTGAAAACCATCAATTCGGCAGTGGCAGTATGGACATACAAGCTCCTGGATGACAAGGTAGGTACCCAGGAAAGGCAACCAAACACAGGTGCTGCCAAAATTCTCCGCACCACAAACCCAAGCTGCGTGAGTACCCTGTCCTTGCACACGCTCTCCTTGTCCCTGCCACCAGCACTACTTCTCAGATGTCACTAATGTGAAAACCCAGAACTGGCTCCACTGCTTCATCGTCTATGATGACACCCACTGGGAGATATATAGAGCACAGACTAAGGGGTGCCTTGAACCGAAGCTCTGTGCTTTATCTCAGCTGTGCCTTTCTCCACAAGCCATTTGCATGGGTTTCTTCAGGATGCCACCATGGAAGTTCTGTCCTCTGAGTTTGGGGAACCCAGGAGACACTCAGGAAGATTTCAGGGGGTGTAATCTCTCGTCATTTATGGGACACATAACAAAGGCTCAAGGTCATCTCTTTCCCATAGATATACAAGTCAGTACGAGGAAGCCACAGCACTGGACAGACCTGCTTTCATCCCACTAAGGTGATGGGAGAGCAAGTGAGACTGTAGGAGTGAACAACCCGGTAGAGAAAGGTAGATGTTGACCCAAGGTTAAAGCAGTTAGAAGGGTTCTCGGAATCAGCACAATTATAACTAGAAATGGAGTGTTTTCTCTTTATAATACCAAAACAACAAAAAGCCAGGCACACAAGCACACATACAAACCAAAAACACCCCAGAATAGTCTTTCCTTGGCAAAACAGTACTCATACTATCTCCTGGTTGGGTTGCTCTGGGGAAGCTGATTAACACAGCATTCAAAACGGGGAACAAGGGCTGGGAATATAGCTCAGTGGCACAGTGCCTTCCTGGCAAGCACAAGGTCCTGAGTTTGATTCCTGGTATCAAAAAAGAAAACAAAACTGGGAAATAATCTGATGAATGTCATGTTCTACAAAGGACTTTTGAAGAGTTCAGGGAATGATTCAACAGATGCTATTTGAGTTTGAAGGAGAAAATATCATGATCAACCCAAAGGAAGTTGAAAATAAAATGTATTGAAAAAGCACAGGCCGGGCGTGGTGGCGCACACCTGTAATCCCAGCACTCCTGAGGCTGAGTCAGGAGGACTGCTCTGAGGTCAAGGTCAGCTGGGCTACAAAGTGGGTTCAAGGCCAACCTCAACTGCAGGGCAAGGCCCTGTCTCAAAAGGCAAAAAAAAAAGAAGAAAGAAAATGCATAGGACATACCTGACCAATCATTTATCATTGTCAATCCTTGGATCTTTTAAACCTGCTCAACACACATGCATTGATCTGTGTTTGAGGAAATATATGTTTCACAATACAAAAGTCATAATAAAATACTGAATAGCTCATGAACACTATAAAACTATAATACACTGTAAATCAATGGCTGTCCACCCTTGGTGAACAGTTGCTGACAGAGCAGTGATGCATTACGGCTGTCCACTATCATGAGAAAGTATTACACCACATAACACTAGTGAAAAAGTAAATAAATCACAAAATTAAAAGACTTCCACTGAAGATTTAACTCAGGGACTCATGTGCATTAGATGAATTAGACTGGAGGTACATCTCAAATATTTATTTCATACTGAAACATGGTCTTGTTCACTAGTCCAGACTGGGCTTGATGTTGCAATAGTCCTGTCTCAGTCTCCCAAGTGGCTGGGGTTAAAGGTGTGCACCACCACGCCTCATTGACATTTGCTTTACCTAACCACTGAAATCTTGGCACGTCACAGAGAACCCCAATCTTGAACTGGCAAAAATGCCATATACCTGTCATCTCAACAGTCAAGGAGGTGAAACAGTAGCAAAATTTCTCCCCAGCCTGGGCAACTTAATAAGACCAAATCTCCAAAAAAAAGTTTTTAATGGGTTAGGGGAGGTGTAGCTTGGAGCAAAATTCCTGAGTTCAGTCACTGTAAAAGAAAAAACATCAAATACACCTTGAAATCTTTTTTGCCTATAAGAAAACCCTTCTACTTCAATGACGATGCCCACCCTGTTTCTAACCCTACAAGACCAGTTTTGTAATTTCCAATTTTGCCTCACAAATTATTAGATGTGTAGGGGACGTCCAGTCTTAGCATATCATTTTCCAGACAGAGTAATTTTAGTCTTGATACAAGCCTCAGAATGTGTCTTGAGAAACATCCCAGAGGGACTGTAAAAAGTTAACTTTGCCCTGGAATGCTTCTCCAAAGATAAACATTGTAACCATAAAGGAAATGTATGGTTATCTAAAGGGGAACATACAGAACAGAGCACAGGAAGTCTGCACCATTGTGGTAACATGTGGCCACCTGAGTCAGTGGCTGGAACATTCTATCCTGTTACCATGGAGACCAAATTTCAATAAACTGTTTACCCTAAAATTGAATCCTTTGGTCTTCTGTGGAAATCAGCAAACTGATCAGTAACAACAGAAGAGATATTTACAGTATCTGTTACTAAGTTTCCCTCCTTTCTTCAGGCCTGTGACCTCTCACCCTCTCAGGCCGGGGCAGCACACAGTCCTTCCATTACTGTCACACTAAGAACAGCCTGACCTTCACAGCTGTAATTGCTGATTTCTCGCGTTTCCTTTTAGTCCTCTTTGTTCCTCCCTAACCAAAACACCCTTTCCGCCCTCCTCCTTCGTGTGTCTGAAGACCTTAACAATGGGGATTTACCTCTACTGCAACACTTGTTTTACACAAAGTCCATTTCAATCAACATTTCAAATTTAGAGCAATGTGTAGGAACAGTCTCAGAACTACAGCGTTTATTTCAGAGAGGAGAGCCCCCTTTCCCCTCCCACTGCTACCAATACCACACGTCCATGGAGATGCCCTAATTCAACGTGCTTCTCAATTTGGCTTTAACAGGCAGCCCTTTCAAAGCTGTCCTTAGCAAGAACCCCTTCCCCTCCCTTGGTAATACATTAACCACCTCTCCACTTTTCTCAGCATTCTAAACTCCTGGAAGGCCTCACTTCAACAGTCTAATTGTAAAGAATATTTATTTAGTTACAAGTAAGGCACCTAGCTAGGGAAAATGGCCTGAGACAGAGTTGGGAAATAAGCCACACTGATAAGAATTAATCTAAGAATAGTGAACTATAGACAGAGAACCAAGAATCAACTTCCTCTGGCAACACAGAATGCAGCCTATCCCTGCTGCGGGGAGTTGCCACTCCCTACTAAGCTTCTGAGTTTCCAGGAATTTAAAGTGTAAATTAAGCAGGTTGTTTCTAAAATCCCAGTTTTCTAGAAAACTTACAAGGTAAGAAAAAGGGTTTAAGAGCGTGAGTTCCAAATGGTCATCTTAAATACACTTGTCACTGGTGACCATTAAATAATTGAGCAGTTACTGTGCTCTGATTACTATAATTAGCTCTAAATTGAGCAGGTACATGGCCATCCACTCAGGATACTTCCAAGGAATCAGGGAGCTATTCTTACTTCCGATAAAATCTCTCCTAACATCCTCCGGGGCTGCCGGTAGAAGGGATGGGAGGAGGGACCTAGCATCTCACAGCGGCACCCACCCAGCTCGTTCTTATCTGAATCAGGGTCTCCCCGACCTAACTCCTCCCCGCTCTCCCCAGACTGGCGTAGCTGATGCTGCGCCTGGGGCCACCCAAGACAGCGCTGTGGGCTGGGAGTGTCACAGGACGCAGGGACCTAGAACTAACCCTGACCCAGCACAGGGGAAAGGGACAAAGCACCAAAGACCAGGAGGAGCCCAGGGTCTGGAGCTGAGCAGCACGGGGGAAAGGGACACACCACTAAAGACCAGGAGGAGCCCAGGGTCTGGAGCTGAGCAGCACGGGGGAAAGGGACACACCACCAAGGACCAGGAGGAGCCCAGGGTCTGGAGCTGAGCAGTGCAGGGGAAAGGGACACACC